CTGATAGCAACCCTGACCCTCCCCCCCGGCAACTGGAGTCCATTGCTCCTTGTTCTGTCACCTGCCACCACTGAGAACAGCCGAGCTCCATCCTCTTTGGAACCCCCCTTCAGGTAGTTGAAGGCTGCTATCAAACGGTCTTGGTAATGGTCTTGCTCCATTACCTCCTTGCTACTAGTATAAGGACATGACCAGAGTAAAGGGGGCAGGTCACTATGCTACATCAATCCTCAATTGCAGTTTCAGTCCCTTGGGCTGCTTTAATTTATGCCAGTGGATTAACTCTGCACACAGCTTGGCAAACCCTTCTCCCTCCTGACTTATGTTGCATGCAGTCCAGCCAGACCACCGGATCTACTTCACACTTTTAAGCACCTCTAAAAATCAGGCTACTTATCTGGGTGCCTCAACTTTAAGCACTGGAGTTTGAAAGTTTTGGCCTTAACCTTTGGATGGGAGTAAAAGACTACTGTTCAAGGGCATTTCTTGTGCCATTTATTTCATTCAGATGATCTTGAGAAGACCTGCCCAGCCCACGGACCACTCTTTCAATGGCCTAGTAGGACATTCTTACAGCAATCTTTTGTCCAGGGTTAGTACTATGTGTGGCTCCTAAGCACCCTCTTCCAGGTTTGTCTTTATGGGACACCTTGGAATACTGATGACCTGAGAAAGATGAAGTGGAGGGAAGTGCTGGGGAGACAGCTAGAGTGCCAGTAGTGAAAAATCTCAGACTGAGTCAACTCATTTGTGCCCAAGTATTTTACATCTTATGCCATGCCAGTGCAGGAAGAAAGAAAGAAGTCCTTTTCTCCCACCATCACATTCATGAAGTCGAAGTTAGCAGACCAATTCTGGGCAATAGACAGTTTGGCCAACCCTCAACTCTGCCTCCAACTGGAGATATCATTTTACACTGTCAGAAGTTTTAATTGCACTTTGCACTAAAGGTCACTTAATTCAGGCTGAGTTTTTGGTTTCCATAGGGGCAGAGTCAGTTCTGGCCGGAACAAAGATTGCCTCTTCTCTGTATTAGTTTCAAAAGGGGGCTCCTTACCCTGGAATGCATTTACCAGTTTGATTCTCTAAAAAAGAATTTGTTTATCTTCAGATCATATCACAAGATCCACTTGTTCTCCTAGGGTTTTCCTACTGTGGAGGAATGATGGGGTGGGGGTGGGAGATACAGGGAGGGATGATTGGACAAAAGGTTGAGTAGGATCTGGTAAGGGATCACTTTGTGGGACATTGGTCCTCAATTATTGTATATTTATAAGTGAACATGTGCCCAGAGTTTTGGATGGGCACATTTTTAAGACAGAAAGAAAGAAAAAGAAAGGACAAGGGATTGATCCTGAGGAGTATTTTAGCAATATGGCACAATATTCAGCTCACAGATGTATAAGTGCAATTTCATTGGAAAAGTGGCCCACTGTGTCAAGATTACGCTGGAAACTTTTCCCATTTGTGAAGAGGTTACTGGTGATGGCTGAATCCCAAACGATTCAGCAATTCTGTCTAGCTGAGTACCCAGAAGTCGGTATCTATCTAAAGAATTTTATATAGCACCTATCACTGGGAAATGAAAATGATGTTTATCCAAATCTTTGCTGAACATCTTGGGCTAGAGCCTCAGTGATGTTAACTGACATTTCCACTGAATTCAATGGAGCTACACCAATTTTACATCAGCTGATGATCTGACCACTTGATCACTTCCTTCTTCTGGTCTGGCTGCAAGAACAGTCTTTCACATGGTATTTTGACATCTATTGGCCAAAGCCAAAAAATACAGCTTTGTGAAGTTATGTAAATTTTAATGATAAGAAAAGTTTTTCAGATCTCAGAGAAGTTTGTCTGGATTTTGGACTAAATGTTTGAGTCAGTTTTTATGTTCTCTGAATTGCTTTTCTCATTCCTAGTCCATATAGTTCTTCCTTTTTCTAATCCGTTCACTAGAGTGTTCCCTTTTTGTCTTCCCCAAGTGTCAGATTAAAAAGATGTAAAGAATGAACTGGCATTTGACACGATGAAAAATGAGAATATGGCACTGGGGTCAAATTCTAGGCTCTTCCATCTGTTCTTACATCCTACCCCTTATGGATAATTTGATTTAATAGGGTGAAATTGCTAGAGATGGTTGAGGGTGGAGTATTCCAAAAATGTCATCAACATTTTTGATTGAAATTCAAAATCTCAACAATGAAAAAAATCATTCACATTGGAAAATTCTGACCAGCTCTCATTTGGGACCTGAAAGAACATCTATTAAAGTCAATGGAATGATTCCAATTGACTGCAATAAGAGCTGGATCAGACTTTAAGAGAACAGTTGTGCTTTTTTAAACCATATAGCAGGGAGATAATCCTCTATTAAATTCTATAGGATGCTTAAAAAACAACCTATGGAAATTTATCTTTGATTTGCTTCTTTAGAATTTTTCTCTAAAGATTTTCCCATCAGAAGGAAGGACCATCCTCATGATAAACCCTGCAGGTCATTTCAAAATCCCCAAAGGAAAACAGTGAATACACTTGTGTAGCTGTTTCCAGCAAATTCACAGTTCAGTATTCAGCTCTGACTCCAAAGCTACTGACTGCAGTTCCATGACAGATTTAGGCCTTGCAAGAGTTTGCCTGCACCCTGTCAATTGGAGAATCAGAGCCTTGTATTCAAATGCAGTTCTCTTTTGGGATGAAGATTTAAAATTATTACTTTTAGAATTATCACTAGGACATACATAGTACCTTGAAACTATCTCATTTGGCTCTACCATGGTATGTGTGTCTGATTTAGCTCCATGCAGCAGGGACTATAGGCCGAACTCAGTCTTGGGGTAAACAAGTGCAACTCTATTGAGGTCAGTAAAGTTGCACTGGACTGAATGTAGCCTCATGCCTATACAACATCACACACACCTATGATGCTTAACAAATTAACAACAAAGCACATCATAGCCAAAAGGAGTTGGTTGGGAGGATGGGGGAGATTTTTGGCACAAAATATACAAGTTGTTTTTTATTTAAAAAACAATAACCCTGCTAGCCAATATAGCCTGCTATAAGTAAACACCATTTATAATACCACTGCGTAGCATGCTGACCAATATTGTCTCATTGTTTCCTTGTCCTCCCCTGTCTGTCTCCACCAGCTGTCTCTTGTTTTAGATTGTACGCTCTCTGAGGCAGGAACCATCTCGGTGTGTTCCGCAGCTTGTGTAAACCT